CCTGAAATATATATCGCCAAAGGTTATTTAACAATTATTATTGATTATTATCTTGTTTATTATTTTTTAAAATAAAAACAAGAAAGTTTAATCAACGAAATATGCAAAGTTAGGTAAGTTAAATCCTTTGTAAATTATTCCTCTTAATATCTTAAAGCTTTCCGATTTTCTCGAAGAATAATTGAAATTAGAATCGCCTTGAGAATCCAGAACGCTTTTAAATTCGAATTTAGGAACGAACTTCTCAAGTTCTGATAGACTCCATTTTAGATTTCTAATTAAAAACGTTTTAAAAAAATCTACGATTTAATCTCTGAATTTCTCAGTACTAATATGTGGGTAATGTATTGAGAATAACATAGAGAATTTCTTCAATTATAATTTGAACATTAGCATTTTTAAACATGATGAAACTGGAACTCGCTTGTTTTTATAATACCTATTCAGTAAATAATGTGATTTTGATGTGATCATTAAATTTGTTTATTGAAAATTTTCTATTTTTCAGAATAGTTACGAAACATTTGAAATATTTTTTATTAATACTAGATTTACGGATATTGACTATATACATTTTTTTACTGAAATCCGTCTTTTTGACAGGTATATTAAAATGAAATTTTTTTATAAATTATTTATTTAAAATCCATAGATTTTTATTTACTGTTGTCTTCAATATATTTTTTACATATAATCTTTATCTTGGATGTATACTTCCTGCATACATACTTGTTAAGTTTAATGCAAATATAGTTAGATTCCAAATATTGAATAGAAGCAAGTTTGTTCATCGTGAAACGTTCGAGAAACGTTCGTACATTTCGTTGGTCATTATCCAATTCTTCAGCTAATTGAAAGAGAAAATTCTTTCAAATTTTGTTTACTCCAGTAGTCTCTTTGTATAATAATCCAGGTATTGATGGCTACCAAATTTAAAAACAATTATAAAATACATAAGAAGAAGCTATCTACGAAATCCTGCTTTTACAGTATTTTCTTTATTATCAGCATCTTTTATTTCACTTTCGCTTTCAATATCTTAAATAATATGCATTCTTTTTCTTTTACGATATATATTGTGATAATTTTCATTCCCACTGTCATTAAAATTTTCATTTTCGTTTATATTGTCAAATTCTTCCTCGCTTTCGCATAATTCGGTTATGATCAGAATCCGATCCAGATTGATGTTTATTTATGCTGGTTATTCTTTTTATTATTCTTTTTATCAATTCCATGTCTTTTGAAGATTTTCCCATAATAATATAAACGTAAAAAAATATATTTTTTTGGGTAGCTTTTGAAAATATCTTGAAAAATTCAAATCTTCACTTACAAAAATAAATTTTTGCTAAGCTTCTAAATACTTACACTTATTTTTTTTTTTACAAAACGCACTGTTGAAATTTCTCATAAATCTATTTGTTTTATATAAAATAATAAGACGCACTTATAAAAATCACTTTTTTTCTCTGCAAAATTCACTGTTGAAGAGATTTCTTATCATATCACAATTATAAACAACTTATTTAATTATGAATTTATTGCTAAATAATCATCATTTGTTTGGTGTTACTTTTTCTTATTCATTATTATTTCATTTTTATTATTTTGCAATAATTGATCTATATAAATTAACCCGTCAAATTGACGGATTTTTGTAAAAATAGGTATATAATATCTAGAAATAATAAAATATAAATGTTCCAGAGAAAATGAATAGAAATATATATTTGGTGCATTATATCATTAAAAATCAGTATATAATATTTAAAAAATAATATTTGCATATTCAGAATTTTTAAGCATAAAATCAAAAACTCGTCAGATTGACCGGTTCTGTAAATCTAGTGTTAAATAATGCTGCATATAAATAAAAATTTTAAAAAAGTTTAAAATTTTTTTTATTTAGAAAACAATTATTAAATTCTGTTTAAAAATGAAACTTTCATATATAAATATGATATATTTTGAATACTTTATGCTTGTATTATAAAGAATCTCTATAAATTTTTACAGAGTTATTCTTTTTTTCTTATTACAAATCGGTTTTATAAAATGATCTATTAGTATATATTTTCGCGTCTTTTTATTTAAATTTTTAGTATAAAACTACGAATTATTAAATAAATGAAAATAGGGCCGAATAAATTTTCAAGAAAAGAAATTAAATATAGTAAATTATTATAGTTATATTAATAGATTATTTTGAAGAATTATACATATTAATATTATTAATATTATTCTCAAGAATCTAAAACATATCATTTATGGAGCTCGGGAATCAAAATTAATATTAAATTAAACTAAGAGATATTTGTTAAAAACAAAGAAATATTTGTTTTTTTTTGAAGAATTAAAAATACAAAGCATCAATATAAAGCATCAATTAAAAGCGTAATATAAAATTTAATAAGCTATACGAACAAACAACTAATGACTCTAAAAAATAAAAAAAAGTAATAGAAACAAGAACAGAATAAAATATATGATCCAGAACAAAAAAATTTGGAGTTGGATGATAAAGATGATATAATCAGAGAATACATCGATAAAAGAAATGAGAGATTAAAAAAGATCAAGAATTCAAAAGAGAGAGATAAACTAAATCGAAAAAATTATTTCATACTATTGCAAATCTAGAAAACGATATTAAACGCTTATACTAATAAAGATAAAATAAATATTAAAATGAAAAGATAAAGTTTATAATTAGTCGCCATGGAATTTGAATATGAGGTTTTTTTTATAAAGTGAAACTTGAAAATTGGTAGACTGTTATAAAAATAAAAAAACTGTATATGAAATGAGAAAATTAAACATAAACAAGATAAGCATAGAAAGATGCACGATAAAGTTAGTTACATATAGATACAAACAACGAAGGGGATAAAATCTTTGCATTTCTGCAAAAAATTGAAATGATTATTTCGAGTATTTTTAATTGTATGTGTGGAAGAAAAATTATACATTCATTAAATGAATATAATTATGCTATATTATTTATATAAAAAAAGTCAAAACAATTTTACATGGAACAATTAATTATTTGGATGAAGAATATAAAAATAAAGCTTGTTTATTAAATAAATCATTGTTATTTTAAAAATACTTAGAAAATGATACAAAACAACAAATAACAATAATATCTATGAAATGTAAACAAATATGCATTTTGCGTTCATATATAAAAAGAAAAAAATGAAAAAATAATCATAATTATATAAGTTGATGGTTTATTAATAACATTATTAAAACATGAAAACATTAAATGGAATTGAAAAGATATTGCAAAACAAATTTAAAATGAAAAATGTAGAATTAATTGACAATACATTAGGAATCAAAATTTCAAAAGAAATAGATCAATAGGATTCATGAAATCAAATTAGAAAAATTATATAAAAAGCTTAATAAAAAAATTTGGAATGAAAAATTAAAAAGATTATAAAAATAAATAAAAACAAAGTTATAAAAAAATTAAAATAGATTTTAATCAGAGATTTTAATCAAGACTTTTAAATTAAAAGAAAATATATATCTTAACGTTTTAAATAATAAAAGAAAAAGAAATAATAAAGAACAAACTATATAGACTCATAGATAAAATAATATATCTTACAAACAATTAGATTTAGTTTTCACAGTCAATTCACAGGAATAGCTAAAATTAGCGAAACATGTTTTATGGTATATTAAATATACGATGAAATATGGAATAGTATACATATATGAAATAACAAATATACATTTATAAATCCATTTGTGAATACATTTGTAAAGATTTGTTTAAAAATTCAGAGGTCAAATTTATGGTTTAAAATTATCATTCATATATAAACATCATTATAATAACAAATGGATCAATTAATGATGAATATCAAAGAAACAAAAATTAGTAATGTTTTCAAATGCTATGGAAGCGAAATATATGACGTTTTTCGAAATAATTAAAGAAATATAAAGTATATATAAAAAATATATTAAAAAACTTTAAAATTTCATAAAATTCAAAAATATACAAGTAATTCAACGAAAGTGTTTTGCGATAATCAATTGATAATTAATTAAAGTAAGAACAATACATATTATAATAAAGTAAACATATTAATATAAATATTAATATTTTTATTATATTTTTTATATATTTATTTTATGCAAAACATTAAAGAATAAAGGAACATTAAAGAACAATTCAAAATATAATTAAAACCAAAAAATAAATATTTCTATTCCTTTAAATTATTAATGACTTAAATACACATTGATAAAAAAATCAAATTTTGTTAAGCGTTGTGATTGATGCACTCTTATATGATTTTTAACTCATTAAATTATTATGTCGAATGAGAAAGTTTTGTAGATATTGATATATATATAATTAAATTTATATAAATAAATAAATTAAAATTAAATGAGAATATTTAAATGGGAATTTATCAAAAAATTTATTCTTTATTAAAAATAATAAAATAAAAAATAAGAGAAATAAAATAATAAAGAGGACAAAAAAATTAATAATAATATCTATTATAAGAAAAGTAATAGTAATTGTAAGTAATAATTTACTAAAAAAAAGTTAATCAAAATATATAAATATATAAATTTAAAGATGATTAATAAATAAATAATTAACTAACAAAGTGGGAAAATAATAAAATTATAGAAGTAACAAAATAAGAAAATAAAAAAATAACAAGTAAGAAATTTAAAAAAAATAATATAACATATTCATTATATGAATTTTCATTAAAATCAAGATTTTTAACTAAATAAATTTTTAAGAAAATGTACAAATACTTGTAACTTAGTTATAAACTATTTTTTATATATCAAGATATTTAGAACAAATCATAAATAATTAAAACAACAAAATAATGTAATTTATAATTAAAATAATCTCTAACTATAAACAACTAAAATATATCGAGATACTTTCGTAAATTGTATCCACTTTTACTAAGTATAGCCATATAGATGTAAAGTAGACGATATCTTACCTGAATCATCACGAACAAAGGTATATAGAAGCTCCCAAGCGTGGCGTAAATCTGGTAGAAGAAATTCTGGCAAACAACGCAATGGGATGGTCCAGTCTCAGAATAAGTGTGTTCATTTCCCATAATCAACAATGGTGGCAGACTAATGCAAGCTGCCCCTAGCCAAACAAGGCTGACGTAGACGATCATTCTTCGTGGCGTCCTTTTCACCCCGTATTTCAACGGCTTCGTTATGGCACAGAATCTATGTCAGCAAGATAAACCAGTGTTCGCAATGTTTTCAATGATATTCACTTTGATGAAGCGAAATAAATATAAGATGTATATTAGGGTGGAATAAAACATAAAATTAATAATATAATTCCTTTAATAATAAATAATAAAATTCCTTTTTCTTTTCATGAATTCTAATATTAAACAAAACTTTTTATAATAATATTTAAATTTGCATTTCATATTTAAAATTTGCATTAATAAAAAAAATATTTTTTGAAATATGGTAAATTATTTAAAAATTAAATATTATTTATTTATTAATTTTTAACAAAACATTTTAATAAACATTGTAATAAATAATGTTTATTTCTTGAACGAAGAAATTTGGAATAAAAGATAATGAGCATTTTTATATATATTATATTTTTTGACCATGTATGAACATTATGATCGATATTTAATATTGTTGTTAGTGATTCATCCACAAAACTATGTAAAGTTTAAATATCTAAAAATCTCTTATGAACAATATTTTTTTTTAAGTTTTAGTTAGTCACAATGAATTCTATAATTGAATAAATTGTTTATTAAGAGAAGAATAAAATATTATTTTTATTTATATATTGAGAATTTATTTAAAAATTTGTTTATTATTTATTATTGTTTATGCTTCATTATTTATTATTTTTATAAATATTTATTTAGACATTATTTAAAAAATATCAGATATCATATTTTATATAAACAATCACAAAACGGAGATAATGTTCACTTATAGTTATGTTTTACTTTGATAAAAGTTCAAGTTACACTCGATTCCAATAGATAATCACTAACAATAAAAGTTATATAAATATGATATATAAGTATTAATTTGACAAAAATACGAAAAATGAAAATTTAAAAAAATTCAGTAAAAATCGTTTTTACCAGTTAATAATTATATTTATTATAAAAAAATTATATTTCTTCAAATTCTTAATATATAATTAATTAATATATAATTTTTAATATATAATTAATTAAATATTAAGTTTAGTAATGATTTCAAATTTAGGATTTCATTAATGTTTGCATATGATCAAAAATGTCCATAATTCTTATTGAATCAATTATAAAATATCATCGTATAAGTATTCTTAATTTGTTCATTTATAATGAATCATTTTATATATTTATTTTAAAATATTATTAAATTTGTTTATCAATATTTGTTTAATAAGATTGAAAAAAGTATAATTAATAAAGATAAGTGTTAAAAAGTAAAAAATATATATAATTTAAAAATATGTTTAAAAAAACAAACAAAAATTCAAAGCTCGCGTGTCACTTTAAAATTAATTTTACAGAAATTATTATTTGCGCTTTAAATGTGAAAAATTAGAAATAAATTTATTTTATTATTAAAAAATTATACAATTTTCATTTTTTTACTGTAAATTCCTATGTTCTATTTATTTGTCTTCGCGTAATTTTTCGTGCATTATTACAAGCTCATACATAAATATGTATCAAGTGTAAAAAAAATATATGTCATGGAATCGTTTATTCTCTGCATTTCTGGTTCAATGAAACTCTGCATTAGAATGTGATACTTGGAAGCAAAAACTTGTGGACTAGTATTTCGTTCTTCGAAGTGATCGTTTATACGATTAAACAATACTTTTTACTGTATTTTTCTGAAATATAATTCTAGCTCAGAATTCTGTACCTTTTTTCGTGAAGCATTTTCGAAGTAATTCGATTATATAAAAAGTTTTAAAATTATTATTTTTATAAAAAAAAGAAAAAAAAGAAAATATCAATTTTATAATAATTTTTAAAATTATTATTCAAATTCTATAATAATAAAAATAAAAGAAAAATAATTTATAAATTCCTGTTATATTTTGATACTATAATAATAAGAAAAGAATAAATTACAAATAAATAATTTTGTGGAAAACATTATTTATTATGTTATTAATTACTATCAAATAGTTAATTATAATCTTTTTAAATAATTTTATTTTTACTTTCATTTTCAATATTATATTGCAACAAATTAGAATAAATTATATTCGAATTATAATATATATTAATATTAATAATATATATATAAAATACGTATAAAAATGATAATATTAAAAATTTTTAATAATTATCTTTTCTTCGTAACAACGAATTTTTTTCATGAATTTAAAATTTTAATAGATTGAAAATAACAAATAAATGAAAATAAATAATAATATAATAAATATAATAATGTAAAAAGTCCAATAATATCTATTTTATGGATACAAAATTAACATTTACGGAAATAAACTAGAAAGAATGAGAAAAAAAAAGAAAAATTCAAGAATGTATTTTATTTCTTTTAATGTATTTATATAATTATGTATCACATAACATTAATATCCATGAAATTAAAAAAAACTATTATAATCGCATCAAACGATCCATTAATTTCATTAATTATAATAATTTGAAATTTGATTCTTTAATTAAAACACCTAATTTACTTTATCGAAGTCACAATCATTCTCAAAACTCAATTTTCGTAGGAAATTTCTGGATGGAGACTACTCACCGGTCCACAGAGATCATGCAGAGATTCAGGATGCTGGCCGTGCAACTGAGCACGTCGAAGCTAACCCAAAGATCGCACATAATTGCACCGAAGGACCAATTACCGGAAATCTCGTAGAGCAACGCCATCGGCATTACCAGAAGAGCGACGCAGAGATCGCTAACTGCAAGGCTAACCAAGAGATAGTTGCAAGGCCTTCGCAGCTTTCTAACGAGGAACACGGCGACGCAAACCAAAATGTTACCGATCACAGTCCCGACGATGATACTGCCGAGCACCAAGGCGATAAGTATTGCCTAAAAAGAAAAAGAATAATATTTTTTTATTGCATAATTTGAGAAATTTATTATTTATTATATAAAAAATACATATTTTTCATTATAAATGCATTTAGATTATAGAAAAAAGTGCAGTAGTTCACAAAAAGTATTTGAACACTTTTTTAATAAAATGTTAATAATCAATTTTTTATTTTTAATTAAACTTTACGAATGTAGAAAATTTATGCGTTATATATATATATATAAAGAAATTATTTTTTTATCGAAATATTATAAATAATATTATTTTATGGAAATAAAATCAATCTTTAAGTTTCATATATTTTTCATTTTTTAAAAAATAACTTTTTTTAAACATAACAACGGTATAAAATAGAATAAAATTTTAAATTACAAAATGTTTAGAATTTAATCCTCTATTATCTTGCTATAAAAAAATTTTCCATTTCATTTGTATTTAAAATAAAAACATAGTGGAACTTTAGAGATTGATTTCATTCTTCTTAAAAAGATTTCTTGTCAATGAAAAAATTATTTTACATTAATTTATTATGTCCTACAAACAAATTTTTATTTACATAAAAATTTTCAGATTAGATAAATTTCTCTGTAAAACAATATTCAAATACTTTTGCGAGCCAATACATTATTTTAAAAATAAAAATATTTTTTTTTTCAAAAAAATAGAACCAATTTTAAGTTTGCTTTATTAGTGTGCCATATGATAAATAATCAAATTTTTTGTGATGTATCAATTATATAATACATGCTCCTTGCAAAAAAATTTGATAAAATATATTAAATAAAGTATACAGTGTATGATGCATATTGAGTATGCAAAATATTCAAATAAAAATATTCGATAAGGAAACAATGAAGCACAAAAAAGCACAAATAGTTTTTGAAACACATAGCAGTTTTCTTTTTTTTATTTTCATTATTTTGTGAAGTTATTTTAACATTCAACTTTCAAAAATTTCTAATAATAAGAAATTAATTAAATTATACTTTCAATATATTGGAAATTAGAAATGAAATAAATAGAAAAAGAAACATTTATTTTCTCTCAGAACTCTAAAAGTGATGTATTGAAATAACTATAGCAAAAAATAATAAGTATTAAAAAAATCTTTATCTATTAATTACCTTTATCATTTGCATATTATTTTATTATTAAATAATAATGGAATAAAATATTTTGTTAAATAAATAAATTAATTTTAATTAATAAGTTAGTATAAATAAGAAGAGCAATATTATAAAACATTTTCTTAAAATTTTAATATTAATAAAAAAGATTTAAGATTTACGACTTAAGACTTAAGATTTTCAAAGTTTATATTGTATTTGCATTATATATTGAAAGTAAGATTTGCCATATAGATTCTTCACCATAAAAAAATAGTTCTACTTATCATAATTGAACAAAATCATATAATATCAAATTGTTAGAAAGATAAAAAAGATTAAAAATTTTATTGTTTTTACAATTATTTTTTTAATCGTAAATCAATATTATATTTCGATATTTTTAGTACTTGAAAGTAAAATTTATAAAAAAAAATAATAAAATTTTGTTAGTAGTAGTAGAAAATTGATAATTAGATTTATTGTTTATGTTTAAAAAAATATGATAATTATATGAATCTTTAATGCAGATTTTATTATATAAATTATTTTCTAAAATTAAATTTTAATTAGTTAACTTGATTATTAAATTTCTATTTCTATTTTATTTCTATTTTATTTTTATTATTTTATTGTAAACTATTTTATTGTTTATTATTTGTATTATTATTATTATTTAAATACGAAAACTAGTTATATATATAAATAATAAGATATATTATTAAAATCTTATTCCTAATCAGTTTAATAAAGGCAATAATTTTAATAAAATACTTTACTATTGTACAAGATAAAGATATTGTAATTTCAATATTTATCTAAATATTAAAATGTTCATCTAAATACCAAGATGATTTTCGCAATCGAGATGGATTATATTTTGAAAGTAAGACATTCAATAAGTAATATAAAATAGTTTTAACAAGAAACGAACTAAATAGTAGGAGGATTTAATAGGATTTATTAGAAGAATTATTTTTTTATAAGTTTACTTTTTTTTATATGCAACGATTTATTTAGAAAATGCAAATGTACTTTTTCTAAATGAAATTATATATTTTTTTTACTGTAGATCGATTTACAAAAATTCTTACAACAATCTATCGTGAAAAAATTTATATTAGAATAAAATATACAAAAAATCAGATTTATAAACATTTCATATTCCTTATAAGTTGCATATTTCGTCGATACTAATATAAACACTTAAGAAATGTTATATAAATTTATAGTGAATGCTAATTCTATTACAAACAAATTAATATCATATTCATATTTATTTTACGTAGAATTTGTTACAAAAATATAAAATGTACAAAATGTAAATATATTTTCTTATTTTATTATAAAATAAAAATTTTTTAGATGCTGAAAATATATAATAATATCTTAATAATAACAATAATATATTATCTTAAATGTAATAAGAACGAATTTCTTTATAATAATATAAATAATGACTTTAATTGTGTTACAGAAAACATAAAGAAACGAATTATGAAATACTTTTTCACAATATTGATGGAAAATTTGAAAATCTTTTTCATAAGAAAGTTGAAATATCTTACAAATCGTTGATTCTTTAATATTATATTTTAATATTTTTTCACATAGATTGTTATAATAAATCGATAAAGAAAATGATTCCATTTAGAAATAAATTATTACATTCACAGAAACAGAAAGACGATACTAATATAAGATATATTCATTTTTAAGATTTTTCTAAAAATACTTTATTATATATTTTATAACGATAATAAGAGGTCTAACATCAAAATTCAATGCAATTGGATTAGACATCGATACAATAAATGTAGAAATCAATGAATTTAACGTTTAGATGTTGGATTAGCTTAGGACACCAATCTCGTGATATCTAACATATAGAGCGTAATGGTAGTGAATTCTGTACATTCTGTACATCAATAAACATCTTGTAATATGTAGGTAAAGTGCTATATTATAAGAATGAAAATTGTAGAAATGAATGGAGAAATTTTGAATGTAGAATAAAGAATTTTTTATTATGAAATATGTATTCAAAATATTATGACAAATTGTAAGAATGTAATTTATTAAATTATGATTTGAAGATTCAATGTCATATCTATTTTTTTTAATGATACCATACATTTTTTATATATTAATAATGCATTTTATTATTCTCTACAAAAATGTAAAAAAAAGTTGTGTTGAAAATTAGTTAAAATTTAGTTTAAAAGATTGTTTAATTTTATATTTGCAAAATTTAGCTCATGAAGGACAAAGAAAAGAAAAAAAATAGTTATATGTTTATACTTTCATACAATTAATATCTTTTAAATTAATCAAAATGACATAAATATTCATATTTTTCTATAAAGAGAATAAAATGATTTTTTTTAATTGATATAAAAAAATATATATCGTTTTATTTAAAAAAAAAAGTGATTAAATCCATTTTACCGATTTTTTTTCTGCATAAAATACATATACTAAATGATACATCATTTAAAATCACTCGATTTTATCCTATAAAATTTTATTTTTAAGAACTTAATGCTTAAAAGTTATAATTGAACTTAGATCTATAAAATATCTTATACAAGATTAAAATTTTAATTGAAAATACGATATTGCATATGCAATAATTTAATAAATAAAAATAAGAAAAAAATAAATATCCTATAACAAGTGAAAATTATTTCAGTAAATAAATAATATAGAATACTTTTTTATTGTTATACGCATAGATGAAGTTGTATGCAAATCCATTTAACAAATTGTCAACATTGACTTATACTTCACATTTTTGTTTAACTTTATATTTTATATGTAAATTTATCTTCTTTTGCATTATTTCTACAATACTGTATACTGATGAGAAATAAATAAACGATTCAATCAATCAGAATTATTTTCATGTCAACCATGAGAAAATATTCTATTTTTTTTCAACAAATGATAATATCTGATTAAATTGCTATTGTAAGCATAATAAACATGTTGTTATTGCATTTACAATGAAGAACAATCAATGGCAAATTTATTTTATCATATAAATATAATTTATTTATTTAAAATATTAATATCTAGTTATATAAATTTAAATATAATCAATGGAATTCGTTAATAATAAAATAAAAGTAGATCAATCTATATTATATACTATATATCTATATACTATTTGAAATATAATCTTTCTCAAGTTTGCTTTTATTATATTAAACAAAAAATAATTTTTCTAATTTTCTCGAAAATAAAGCTTGAAATTTAACAAAAACGTTTTATTTTATGTTTATCCTTTCACTTCTTTTATATTAGGAAATGATATTCTATATTTTCAATAAAGATTTTACCTAATGTAATGTTCGTTATAGCAAATCGGATAAATGATTTAATATAAAACAAAATTAATCTTAATAAATATTACATTTCATCGGATAAATGATTTAATATAAAACAAAATTAATCTTAATAAATATTACATTTCATTGAAATAAATAATAATAGATTATATATATTGTTCATGAACTATATTATTAATTGATACTCACGAAAAATTGACATATTAGAAATATTCAACGACAAAAAGAAATGAGGTTATAACAGTAATTAAACTGCAAAACTACCGTGCAAAACGTACAGTTTAATTTAGGATAATCTTACACATCGCGCGATACCATCGCGTTCGTAACCCCTTATTTATATTTATCACGTTACCGAGCATTTTCATTGTAAAAAGTACGAGGTTATTACAGTGATGAATATATAATATATGCATCATTGAGTTTCAATATTATTGTTCACTAAAAACGATACATTTCAGAACTGAGAACCGAGAGAAATCGAGAAACAGAGAAAAAGCGATTAAATCATAGCGTGATTTGCTTAAATTGAAAATC